ATTTTCTCGTCCTAATCTTAAGATGAGAGTATTAAACATAGTCATTGCGGCTTCAAAACATCCCAAATATGTTTAGAATAATAAAGAAGAGGTTTTGCAAAATATAACGCGAGGACAGAACCTTAAAAACTATAAAAACCAAAATCCGACAAACAAATTATTTAAAAAAAAAATCGCGAAACCCAATTTTTTTGACTTCGAAATTTGTATGGTCCATTAATATTGATCTAGGAACCAATATATGCAATGTAAATACCAATAAGGGGGTCAGATTCAAAGATATGAACAGTTCTAAAGCAATAGTAATAAAAACAAATACATGAAGTTGGGAGAAAACATCATTATTCGTCAAATCCTATTGTCTTTTGAAAAACTGTGGTTGCTGGTGGCGAATACGGACTCTATATTTTATCTCCGATTAACACCATCTGTTGCGAATAAAATGCAGTAGGGAATAAACGGGTCGATGTATTTATTTTCGAAATAAGATGTATTTCTATTACCAGAAAATCGTCCATATATTTGAATCTGACCTTTTTATTGCTATTTTCATCGTATATTTTGGTCCCTAGATCAGTAAAAATAAACCATAAAGTTTTCGAAGTTAGAAAAATGGGATTTCGCGATATTTTTTTAAATAACTTGTTTGTCGGCTTTTGGTTTTAATAGTTTTTAAGATCCTGTCCTCGCGATATATTTTGTAAAACCTCCTTTTTATTATTCTTAACATATTTCGGATGTTTTGAAGCTACGACGACTATATTTAATACTCTGATTTTGAGATTAGGACGAGAAATTACCTAATATTGAATGAAATATTGCTGGAGAATGTATTGAACGTAAATGTGAGAAAATAATCGCGAAAAAATGCCGTGGTTTATTGGGATCGTTGCCAAATCACTTATAGTATGTCGTTACCCGCAATGGTAACTATAAAAAGACCAAACGTGTTCTATGTAACAATTTTTTCTAAAATAATAATAAAAAGCAAAATACTTTTTTGTGATAAACATTTTTGGATTGTTATATATTTCGGCCGATGTCTTCGAGACCAATAGGTCTTTCGCTGTGATTCTTGCAGAAATACGATCTAAATATGTCCACAAACGTACTCCATTATACATAATTCATTTTACATCTTTAGTTTGCTGGCTTTAGGCGTATAAATTGGAATTTTTTCAATTTTTTATTGAGGCAAAATACTTATTACACTCACTGTATGTACAAAGACATAATACCCTATATCACAGAGTGATGGAGGGTATACAAAAGTCACACAAATACAAACAAACATAACCACACAAGAAAGGTGCCGCCTCACAAACCAATTACTTCATATTTGACTTTGCGGAATGTGGCATCGAACATTTTTGGCTTGCAAAAAGTGACATTCATGAAAATATTGTTAGGTGTTATAGCATAATGAGTGGTTACTCAAAGAATTTTGGCCAAAGAAGAATAAGACAAAGTGATTAAGGAATTTATTAGAATTTCTGTGGTGCCCTGCAATCATTTACAAAATCATATTGATACCCTGTATGTTATCGCATATGTAATAGTTCAAACGTGTTAAAGGCCCAAGTCCTCATTCTTAATGGAATAAATAAACATTCAATAAAAATATGTATATTTTGGTACTAATACACGTTAAGTGTTCTGTGTTTTTTAACATTTCAGTTCAATATCTTATAAACAGAGCTCCGACTATAGCGACCAATTTCGCAGGTCCCTTGACCGCCGTTATTAGCGATTTCGACAGTACTTCAAGTAAACAGTTGTAAACTACCTTCCTTATTCTACCATCATTAATCAATTTGGAAATGGCGTATGCTTTACTGAAATTCAAAAAATTTTATTGTACAAAAAATTTACATTCCATTAATTGTACGTTATATTTTCCTTATTTAATAAAAATTTAAAGAATAGGTTAAATAAGCATAACAACCTATTGCATATGTTTACATATCCGATATTATGATATATATATATAATACTAGCGGGACCCGTGGCGCTTCGCTGCCCCTGCTGAAATTATCAAATTAAAATTTAGATATGATCAATTGATAATTTAATTTTAAAATTAGGTAAACCCTAGTATTTGTATATGCTCGCATTAACACTACAAAAAAGTGTGAAATGTCCATGTTGTAGTAGTTGTATAGTAATTATTAAATAATTCACTGTTTTCTGTAATGGTTGTAATTTTTGCTTTCTTGAAACAGATACTTTTTATCAATTTTACACGATCGATCACCTCCATCTGTTACCTCCTCCACAAAATGACATTTAAAAAAAAATAGTGTTGTATCTGAATTTTTCCTATCCCAGTCTCTGGCTGTATCTGAATTTATCCTATCCCAGTCTCTTTTTCCAGATGATAAAACGATTTATAATAAAAAATCCACACTACTCACTTCAAATCATTTCAGCATTTTTAGAGTCTACAAACAAAATATTTTCAAATTTCAATATGCTGATTTAAAAATGCAGTAAAAAGTGTATACCCGTTGATCGTACTGTGCTCATTTTTGTATGGATGGTGTGTATTCACACCTTCGTCATTCAGGCAAATTAAAAAAAACGGTATATTAAAATAAACGCATATTGCATGTTCAGAAATTTTGAGGTATGTTTACTGTTTATGCTATAACTCCGTATCCACGCGGAATTTTTAAAGTTTATAGAGCATATGTTACTTTCAGGGTATGTCTCGATATACAGTGTAAATCTCATTAAGATCTGTTCAGCGGTTTTGGCGTCTATCGGCCCTTTGCTGCCCCTGATAAAGTTATCAAGCATATACCAATGATCAATTAATAAGCAACGTACAATATATACTAATTTTAATTTCAAAATTAGGAAAACTCTGGACTTTTATATGCTCGCATTAACACTACATGTGGAGATCTGGCAACACAGTTGTGGATTGAAGGAGTCGTTAGGCAACTGTCATAGAGAGCAGATGTAATATTTATAAATTATTTTTATGTTGTCTCAGTAAATTTACAAATTGAATAAATGAATTGAATTGCAATCTGCGGTGTTGTGTTTCACGGTTTATCAGGGTATTACAATGACGACTGAGGTAAATTTTGCTTGTGCAAAAAAAAAAAAAAATAATAATAAATAAAAAAAGGAAAAACAAAATAATAAAAAAAGGAGAAAATAAAAAAAGGAAAATGACAAAGTCAAAGGCAATGAAGAAAAGTAGGCGTTATTTTTGTAATATATACGCATATGTACATTTGTTTGTGAGTTTGTGTTACATTTAATTGTAACAATTGAAAGAGGATAAAGAAATCCGATAAGCATTAAATAGTTTTGCATTCAATTGCGGATTTGGTCAGAAGCATTAAATTGCGGAAACGTTGCAAAAAGGAAAATACATTAAATTGTAAAATCAGTGATAGTTACATTCAATTGTAAAACGGTAAGAATGGAAAGAGGCTTTTAGTGAATGATTGTGTTGACTAATAATATACATACATTAAATTGTTATCAGGGTGAAGACGTTAAACTGTCTTGCATTTAGATGCTGGGTTGTAACCCTGAAAGAGAGTAACATGAATGCGACAGGTATATCGCCATTTTTATGCGATGCCATAGATAAGGCCCTAATACGGTCCGAATGGGAAAAATGGCTTCGAGCATTTTCAATATATCTGGAAGCAGAAGAAATAAACGATGCATCGAAGAGGAAAAATAAATTGCTGTATTTGGGTGGTACACAACTCCAGGGCGTGGTATACAGTATTCCTGGAGCCCTTGTAGAACCTGCAAGTGTACCAGATGGATCGGACGTTTACAACGTGCTTGTTGAGAAGCTCAACGAATATTTTTCCCCAGAAAGAAATTCTACTTTCGAGAGGCATTTATTTCGTTCATTGAAGCCGGAAGATAGCGAATGTTTAAACAAATTTCTAGTAAGATTACGGAACCAAGCTGCGAAGTGCCAATTTGGAAATACGAAAGACGAAATTTTGGAAATTAACTTAAAAGATAAACTTATTGATACCTGGGCTCCAAATGATCTTAAAAAACGGCTTCTTGAAAAGGAGTACACACCTGAGCAAGCTATTGAAATGTGTCACGTTTTCGAACAAATAAGTAATCAAACCGAAACAATGAAATTGCCCAATGCGTCTCTGGATATCAATAGAGTTGAGAGCAATAATCGGAATAGTGAATGTGGCAGATGTGGTCAACGAGGACATACTGGTACAAGTGCTGGATGTCCCGCTAGAATGTCAAAGTGTAATAACTGTGGGTTCTCCGGTCATTTCGCTCGTAAGTGCAGGACAAAAGACAATAAACGCAGACAGATTGCATTCGAAAATTCTGACTCGAAGAGGAGGAAAGTCAGCTATTCCAACATACAGTTTGTTTCCGATGACAGAAAGTCCGAAGAAGGATCTATGCAGGGCAAATGGAAGGAGAACAATTGCTTTCGAGTAACGGATGAGTCAGGCGAAAGCGGAAATGAGATGATAGATTGCTATATTGGAGGCCACAAAATTCCTATGTTGATTGATTCCGGGTCACAACATAACTTGCTAAGTGAAACGCACTGGGAGTATCTCGTCATGACACACGCCACTGTTTGGAACGTTCGAACGGAATCTGAGAATAAGTTTCGTGCGTACGCTGGAAACAATTTACTTAAGGTTAAAGCAGTTTTCGAGGCGGTGATAGGTCTCGATCGTGACTCTAATTTGATTGCCTCATTCTATGTTATTGAGAATGGAGGTTAATCTCTACTCGGTCGAGATACTGCTATAAAGTTAAAGGTTTTGAAATAGGGTCTTGGAGTAAATCAGATTGAAGATCGGAAGATATTTCCACTACGTAGAGTACCATCAGCATTAGAGGAAAGGGTCGGCAAGAAATTGGAGGAAGCTGTAGAACAGGATATCATAGAACCAGTAGTGGGACCTAGTCGGTGGATATCTCCAGTGGTAGTCGTGTTCAAATCAAACGGAGATATTCGTCTATGCATCGACATGAGACGTGCCAATGAGGCAATATTAAGGGAGAACTATCCTCTTCCAACATTCGACACATTTATGACTAAACTTCAAGGAGCCAAATGGTTTTCGAGATTAGACCTTAAAAATGCTTACCATCAGCTTGAACTGGATGAAGGCAGTCGCGAGATAACCACTTTCATAACTTCTAAGGGTCTATATCGTTACAAGAGACTGTTGTTAGGAGTAAATTCGGCTCCAGAAATATTTCAAAAAACTATGGAGAACATTCTGGCTCCGTGTACCGGCGTTGTAAATTATTTGGATGACGTCATTGTGTTTGGAAGCACCGAAGACGAACATGACAAACGCCTGAAAGAGGTTCTGAAAGTTTTTGGAGATGCAAATGTTTTGCTAAATGACGAAAAGTGTGTTTGGAAAACAGGCCAACTGCTATTTTTAGGACATATCCTGTCTGTTGAGGGAATAAGTACTGATCCCGATAAGATTGACACGGTACTGAAATTTATACCGGATTTAGCAGATTTTACAGAACCACTCAGGAAGTTGACCAAGAAAGATGTGAAGTTTATCTGGGAATCAGATCAATACAAAGCTTTTCAAAATCTGAAAAAGCAACTAAGCAAAATGCCTACATTATCGTATTTCAATCCGAAAAGTCGTACCCGTTTAATTGCTGACGCAAGTCCAGTAGCATTGGGAGCAGTTTTACTGCAGTTTATCGATAATGTCCCTGTGGTGATATCCTTTGCGAGCAAAAGTCTTTCAGAGACTGAACGACGATATTCACAAACGGAAAAAGAAAGTCTCGCTTTAGTTTGGGGCGTAGCGCGGTTTTACTATTATTTGGCCGGTATTGAATTTGAGTTGGTCACGGATCACAAGCCGTTGGAAGCTATTTTTAAACCCACCTCAAAACCACCTGCTCGTATAGAAAGATGGGTGCTTCGTCTCCAATCATTCAAATTTAAAATCATTTACCAGGCTGGAAAATACAACATCGCCGATTCATTGTCTAGGTTGTGCAAGATTGAAAATAGCTTGTCCTTTGACCAACAATCGGAAAGCAGCATATGTTCGATCATTGAGGAAACCATCCCGAAAGAACTTTCAATTCTGGAAATCGTGGAAAACAACCGGGCTGACCCAGAACTGATGGAGGCGGTTGAAAATATTAAAAACAATTCATGGAGCTCAACAACGACAAACAAGTTTTTTCCATTCCGGCATGAATTATGTACATTAGGTAATATCTTGCTACGTGGAACAAAAATAGTTATTCCTCTCCCGTTAAGAGCAAGAGTCTTAACGTTAGCTCATGAGGGCCATCCAGGTGAAACGGTGATGAAGCGACGGTTACGCTCAAAAGTATGGTGGCCTTTAATCGACCGAGATGTTGGAAAATATGTGAAGAATTGTCGCCATTGTTTACTAGTTTCTCAACCGCAATACCCAGCACCAATGATTCGACGCGTTTTTCCAGAAGGTCCATGGCTTTGTCTCGCAATGGATTTGTTGGGACCTTTGCCCAATCACGATTTCATATTGGTGGTCATTGACTATTATTCCAGATACCAGGAAGTAAAGTTCCTGAAGAAAATTACGTCGAGTGCTATAATTGATTTATTGGAGGAAATATTTTCAAGATTGGGTTATCCAAAATCAATTACCACAGATAATGGCCGGCAGTTTGTTAGTGATGAATTTAAAGGATATTGCGCAGACAGAAACATTGAAATTATTACGTCACCTCCTTACTGGCCTCAAGCGAATGGGGAGGTCGAGAATATGAATCGCTCGATTGTGAAGCGATTGCGAATAGCTCATAGCAACGGGTCCGATTACAAGAAGGAGATCCAAAAGTTCATGTTAATGTATAATGTAACACCTCATGGAACAACTGGGAAAGCTCCAACGGAACTGCTATTCAATCGAATGATTCGAGACAGAATACCTTCGATCCTTGATGTCGGAGAAAATATATTGGATGCGGAAGCTAGGGATATGGATGCTGTCAATAAAGAAAAAGGAAGGCAAAGGGCAGACAAGGATCGGAGAGCAAAAGACAGCGATATAAAAGTGGGAGACAGGGTACTACTGCAAAACGTAATTTTCCCAAATAAATTGGCACCTACATTTGGTGTAGAGGAATTTGAAGTGGTGAACCGAGAGGGAAATGATGTCACTGTCCGTGGAGATGATATAAATAAAGTTTACAGGCGAAACATAAGTCATTTAAAGAAATTGCCGACAACGTTACAAGCTAATGATGAAGATTCTGCCCAAATCGAGTCTGCTGCTGAACCGCTTGTCCCTAATCCGAGGTTGACTCTGAAGCTAAAAAATATAGGAGGGATGTGGAGATCTGGCAACACAGTTGTGGATTGAAGGAGTCGTTAGGCAACTGTCATAGAGAGCAGATGTAATATTTATAAATTATTTTTATGTTGTCTCAGTAAATTTACAAATTGAATAAATGAATTGAATTGCAATCTGCGGTGTTGTGTTTCACGGTTTATCAGGGTATTACACTACATATTGACATTTTTTTTTTTTTTTTTTTTTTTTGAAACGAAAGCACACCATTAATAATTTTTATCAATTTTACACAATTGTTATGTCATGAAAACAGATAATGACACGTAATAACCAAAATTGCTATTTTGCACATCTTATTATCGAGCACAACCATCTGTTACTTCCCCACAAAATGGTATTTATTATAATCCATATATTTTTGTAATCCAAGTAACATTTTTTTCACAAACTGACAAAATAAAAAATTATAATGTCAATAATTTTTTTTCAATTTTATTTTATTTTTATTTCCATATTTCAAATTATATCGTAATTGTTCCAAAATTTATTCTCATCGGATGAAGCGTATTTACTTCCATGTTATTCAACTAAATGTAGTCGCTACATGTAAGCAACCTATCTTAGAAAATGAACATACATACATTATTTCAGATATACATATGTATATACATACATATGTATGTACATATGAATACTTTTGATGCTATAACTTCGCATCCAGGCGGATTTTAAAAATTTAACTAACCTATGTTACTTCCATGGGATCGCTTGATGCCCTGTGAACATTTTAGTAAAATCTGTTCAATGGTTCTTGATTCCACAAACAATATGTTTTCTATTTTCTACGTATAGATTTAAATGCAATGAGGTGGGCATTTTCCCTTGATCGCGCCACTCGATGATGTGTATTTACTCCAACATTACACAGACATATTTCGAAGTCGGTATCTGTAACCGTTCTTAAGATATACAGAAATTACATGTTCATAATCTTTGAGGTATGATTACATTTGATGTTATAACTCCGGATCCACGCCGAATCTTTGAAGATTATATAACCTATGTTTTTCCCAGGGCTTGCCATGACGTTCTGTGAAAGTCTCCGTAAAATTTGTTCAGCGATTTTTAAGTCTACAACCAAAATGTGTTCTATTTTTAATATTCAGATATTTAAAATGCAATGGAAAGTGCATTTTCCGTTGATCGTACCATGCTTATTTTTATATGGATGATGTGTATTTACACCTACGTTATTCAGACAAATTTTGAAGACGGTATCTCGAGCCGTTTTTAAGATATACGCATATCACATGTTCCGAAATGTTGAGGTATGTTTACTATTGATGCTATAACTCTGCAACCACGCGGAATTTTTGGAGTTTATCTAGCCTATGTTACTTTCAGGGCATGACATGACATACTGTGTAAATCTCATTAACATCTGTTCAGCGGTTTTTACGTCTATCGGTAACATACAAACAAACAAAATTTTTTCTATTTTATATATATACTAGCGGGACCCGTGGCGCTTCGCTGCCCCTGCTGAAGTTATCAAATTAAAATTTAGGTATGATCAATTGGTAATCATTCTATATACAGCTGCAATATTTACTAAATTTCACGAAACTTTGCCCACATAATTCTAGACTTAATTCAGTACGCTCTGCTAAAATTCGTGCAAATTATAAGATTTCCAGGGACTTTGGTGCATCAGTTACCTAAAATCGGGCGAAACTATATATGGGAGCTATATCTGAACCGATTTTCATGAAACTTAGCACACATTATTATAGACGCAGTTCAGTATGCTATGCCAAATTTCGTTCAAATCAAAAGATTTCCTGGGAATTTAGTGGACTATTTTCCCAAAATCGGGCGAAACTATTAATACGAGCTATATCTACATCCAAACCGATATTCCCGAGACTTGGCACACATCATCCTAGGCTTAATTCAGTACGCTGTGCCAAATTTCGTGCAAATCGAAACACATATAGGGACTTTAGTACAAAATTTACCTTAAATCGGACGAAGATATAAATTGGATGTATATCTAAATTAGAACCGATTTTCACGAAACTTAACACACATCATTCTAGACCTTATTCATTACGCTGTGCCAAATTTCGTGTAAATCGTTCTTGGGCCAAACAAATGAGCTGTGCCAAATTTCATCCAATTCGGATCATAAATGCGACCTGTACTTGGTTTACAATTTAACCTGGACAGACGGACGGACATGCATATATCGACTCAGAAAGTGATTCTATGCATATTCTCAGAAGGAACCATGGGTCTACCTCGATTATTTTTGCCTGTTACAAACATATGCACAAATACATAATACCCTATACCACAGTGTGGTGAAGGGTATAAAAATAGTGGTATATCTGTATATTTACACTCACCTTACTCAGCAATAGTTTGAAGTCGGTATCTGTAACCGTACTTAAGATATACACACATTATATGTTCATAATTTTTCAGGTATGATTACGTTCGATGCTATAACACCGCATCCTCGGGAAATCTTAGAAGTTTTTAAAGCTTATGTTATTCCCAGGGCATGTTATGACGTTTTGTGAAAATCTCAGTAAAATCTTTTCAGCATTTTTAGAGTCTACAAACAAAATATTTTCAATTTTCAATATGCTGATTTTTAAAATGCAGTACAAAGTGCATTTTCCGTTGATCGTACCATGCTCATTTTTGTATGGATTGTGTGTATTCACGCATTCATTATTCAGGCAAATTTTGAAAACGATATCTGTGACCGTTGTTAAGATACACGCTTATTACGTGTTCAGAAATTTTGAGGTATGGTTACTATTGATGGTATAACTCCGCATCCACGCGGAATTTTAAAAGTTTATATAGCCAATGTTACTTTCAGGGCATGCCCCGACATACAGTGTAAATCTCATTAAGATCTGTTCAGGGGTTTTGGCGTCTATCGGTAACATACAAACAAATAAACAAATTTTTTTCTATTTTTTATATATATATATATATATATAGATATATATATATATATAATATATAAATTTTACTGAATTCGCGTTCTAATCATATTTTGTATAAATGGTTTATGTTTTATTTCTTAATCGTGTACTAATTTCTGGAGAAAATTTAACCTGTACTTTCAATGCTCAGATGTGTCAACACTAAGTTCAATAACCCCAACCAGAATACATTTTGCCAGGGTTATACCACACCTTTTTTCTATTACCTATGCTTTCCATAGATCTATACCTAATACACAAATTCATATTTTCTTTGAAATAATTGAACATCCTTCCCTTTCCCACATTATCTTATATTTGTTTGTCCTTTATTGCCAAAAACTTTTTCGAGGAAGGCAAATACGCTCACACGCAAATATATTTTCATATCTCAATCAATAGATATTGTCCACAGCGTCATAACTCAATCATTTGACTTTGGCTTTTTTATTTATTCTCACAACAAATAAAACTAAAGATGTCAGAAACTCCCATAGAATTCGATTGCTATTTATCCCCAAATGGCAGGATGGATGGGGCTGAACACAAAAAAAGAAAATTTCGAATGGGTGATTTATAAAGGACCAGATGAAACGTCCCTCAATACAGAGGCAAATTGATAAATGACGTGTTGTTGACAAATACGTGCACATATTTACATACCTCGGTTTCTTCCAAACGAATTGATCAAGGAATATTTTCATTTCTTCTTCGTTTTTTGTTTTGCTGTCAGCATGTGTGTTCAGTTGTTGAATGAATCAAATATTGAATGGTACTAAATGTCCCCTAAGGATTTGTGCAACTTTGACAGTCAAATAGCAGTATATGTTTTCTTTTTTTTTATTCATCAACATTCAAATTTGCCAAGACACTTGACACTCGGCGGAGTCATGAGTGTATCACACTGTACAAACACGTGTGCGTGTTAAAGGATAAAGACATAGTCCATTAGGAAGCATACCACCCACCCTGAATTTTATCCCCATTCCTTACATTCATTGTTCATTGTATTGGTAAACTTGTGATAACTTTCTTTCTCTCATAGACATGCTAATGTCAATATTTAAATAGAAAGGACAAAGGACAACCCGAAATGAATTCATACAAAAAAAGAAAAATAAATAAATGACGATAAATAAGTAGTCAAGTATCACCTTTGAAAATGTCAATGAGCGTATGTGTGTTGATGTGATTTCTATTAAAAGGATATACAGGATACTAACAACAAATGGAACATTTGCAACGTTTTTGTAATAGTTTCGAACTTGAACATTTACATTTAATACAGAAAAAATCTTAACGGTATAAGAATCGCTTTCATTCAAGTCATCGAATTTTAAATAATCCTATTTGGATATAGTTATGTGTCGTGTAGACAAACCTTTTGTAGCGCTGAATGATTCTGTGAAAACAATTTTTGTTTTTCATCAATCGCAAAGAAACAAGATTGATTCCGTAAGGCTGAATCATGAATATGTGATGAAAAACGTTACGACTAGAGCTTCTGGTTGCATATATACGAAATAGAAAAGTTTTACCAACGACAGCAGCTTAACAAAAAATGTGTAAGTCGATGTTACCGACAGATGTATACTCTCCGCCTATGGGTTGGTTATTATTTGCTTTATATAAGCTATATGTTATTATCAAAGAGTTGACCATCATTGGAGATGTACCAAAAGAAGGGCAACCTCTTTTGGTAACAAACTCCATCTTAGTATTAAATATAGATCTTCGAACTATGATATGGGTTTGAATGAAATATTACGATATGCTAAGTTTCCATCAAAGCGGATATATCATTCCCCCTAAGTGGGGTTCCCTTAAGTGAATTTCCAACTTTTAGGTTTTAATTTCGAAGTTTTGTTTATTTTGATAAATATTTTTGATCCCTAGTTTTCTAGCAATATCTGGACCATTCGCATCTTTATTTTTTATACAAAGACTGACTTTCCCCATTTAAGGTTTACAGTACGAATTGTTACAAAATAAAATATATTTTA